AAAAGGTTGAGTTTTAACTGACCTTGAATAAATTCGATTTTCAAGTCCCCTTCTATATGTAGCAAAGTTGTGTATTCTTCAATAGTATGAACCAAGTCCTCCTTATTGAAAGTGAAACAATTATAACCAGGATTCCAGAATTAAATCAGGGCTCGAAGCAAGTCATCATCAACTTCTACATAGAGCAAATATGGGATGTCCCCGTAAGTATGATAAAACTGCAACTTTTTGTTTGAGTCCCAACTCTCCCAAATGCCTCGCAAATCTTGCATATCATTTCTTTTTAGCGAAATCGGAGCATAACTTGCCAACTCAGGTACATAATCATCCTGCAGACTATCTCCCCCTTGTCTTTGTAAGTTCTCAGCCCACTGTCTTACTTCTGAGTTTGGAACTATTTGATTTGAACACTTTTTATCCATAGATGAAGGTTTTCCAATGAGATGAATAACATGGAGATCAATACATTTAATCCTGTATGATGCTATGCAAAAATAACATAACAAATAAAAAGAAATGAATTAGTTCACATAATAAAGAAGTAAAAATTAATTTAATAACATCTATCCAAATATTTCTAATTAAACATGATTTATACATAGCATACTTAAAAATTTTAAATTTTCATGCAATTTATTTAACAAGAAAATAAATTAATTAATTAAAAGGAAAAAGTTAGAAATCATTTCTCCTTTGTGTACACCTATAAAATTTCGGCATGGCTTCAGATCAGAAGAGTTTCTAAGGTTTACTATATGTAGAGTTTCAGTTCTAAGAGTAAAGGTACCCGAATTGTCCTTGTTAGTGCCCCATTGGGTTGCTAACCCTCAATCCTAGTCCATCACAGACTAAAGTGGATCGGGTTCAATTCGAGGGGATACACTTCTCTATGCCTGACACGGAAAATAAATTCCCACGAAGACATAGAGCATATGAACCCCGAAAGCTACTTGCTAGGTCTGACACAGAGAATAAATTCTCACGAAGACGTCGCTTTCACTCCCACTTAAAAGGGACAAGCTTGATTAAAAAACTTATGTTATGCAATGCATGTGTTGTGTGTGAGGAGAAATGTTCATACCTCTGACAAAAAAATAAATAATGGAATAAAATACTTGTAAATAAAATGAAATATTAATAAAATAATATACATATAAATATTATGAAAATAATAAGTATATATAAAAATTTTGAAATTTTGAAAAGAAAGAATTAAAAATTAAATATATGAATTTTTAATTTCTAATTTCTAATTAATAGAGACAAATTGTAATTGATTTTAAAGTTTGACCGAGTCCCCAGCGGAGTCGCCAAGCTGTCTTAACCGGTTTTCGCCGGGGTACGAAATTTTTACTTGGCGGGAAAAATAAAATGAATAAATAAATGGTTTTGATTAAAAAAATATTTTAGGAGTCGCCATTGACCTTTTTGGGTTAGGTAGGTCCAATACCTAAAAATAATATTTTAAAATAGTTTTTAAGAAAACATAATTTAAAAGATAAACTAATCTGCATATAACCAAAAGTTTGAGTAAAACATGATTCGTAGTCGATTACGTTTAGGGAAGGATTAGCACCCCTATAACGCCCAAAATTTGGTACTTATTAATTATAATTTGTCTCTATTATTGGAATTTTTAAAAATTCAAAAATATATTTAATTCATAATCCTGTTATTTTGTATTTTAATCGGATCATTCTAAGGAAGAATATTAAAAATATATATAGGGTTTTGTAAATAGGACATTTATTTATTTAAGAATATCAGAAAAGGGCTTATAGTTGCTTTAAGACAGCTCTTTTCTTCGATATTAGTAAATAAAATAAATATTAAAAATGTAATAATTTTTACTAAAAATAATTTAAATAAAACTAAATTATAATTTTTATAATATTTAATTATTTAAAATACCAGAATAGGCATCCAGTTGCTTTAAGACTACCCTTTTCTTTGATATTGAAATAAATAAACATATTAAAAATAAATAAATAAAAATATATAATTATAGACTAATATAATAAATAGTAATTAAAGTAATTTAAATATATTAAAAATAATATAAAAATAAGTTAAAATATACTAAACAATGACTAAATAAATAAAATTAAAATAATAATAATAAAATGTAAATAAATAATAATAAAACTTGTAAATAAATGAAAATATTAAAATTAATTACTAAATTATAATATATTAAAATTTAGTACCTGGTTTAAAAATAATTATTTAATATTTTAGGGACCAAACATGCTATTTTACCTTATTGTTAATTTAGTGACTAAAATAAACATATATTTAAATTCTAATACTAAATTAAAATAAATTAAAACATGCTTTTGGATCAAAATATTAATTATAAAATTAAAGGACTAAATATGTCATTTACCTAAAATATATTATTTAATAAAGGACTAAAATAAATAAAATTAAAATTAAAGAAACGAATTATAAAGATCTAAAATTGGATTCAGTGACTAAAATATAAAGTTATAAACCTGTGGCTACGGAAAGGGTTTTACCCTTATCAAATTACACACAGGCCCTCCCTTAAACGACATCGTTTAAGAGAGGGTATAAATACCCTATTATAGTCGGCCCGAAGGGCCATCTTCTCATTTCTCTCTTTCACTTTCTCTCTCTAACTGAGAGAGTTTAAAACTCTCTCGCTTCTCTCTAGCTTCCCTCACTTGAGGGAAGCCGGTCACTGGCCAACAGCCTTGCGCCGCCGTCAACCTTACCGCCGGCCATCGCATCCGGTGGCCGAAAAATTTTATTTTACACCAAAATCAGATTGAAAGCAAATTTAGGAAAATCTCTCCGTCTTTTCCTGGTTATTTTGGTGTTTTAGTGGTTGTTGGGTAACTTGTTTTCCTCTGTTGTTCTCTGTGGCTTGCTTCCTCTCTCTTGCTCTCTTTCTTTTTTTGTTTGCAGGTGAGCCGAGGCTTTATAGCCACTCCGGTACTGGCCTCGGACCGGTTAATATGGTGGCAGTTTGGTGAGTCACCAAACTTTAGTGGTGACTCACAATGGCTTTGAACGTGGACGGTTGGGCTTGAGTATTCTGGAAACTGTCGGTTGGCGTCGTGGCAGCATGTAGACTGGCGTGGAACGATGTAGATCAGCGGCAACAGCGTCGGCGGCCGCGTGTCCTTAGGTATCATACCCTAGGGTTTGCATCTGGAGTATATAGGGATCGTTGGATCAAGGCCAGATCCAACGGCTATTGTTGTTGGCGGCTAGGGCAGAGATGATATAAACTCTAATTATTTAGGGTTAATGTTTAGGCCACCAAATATGGGCCTCTGTATTTGGGTTGGGTCTGTAATATTAAATAAAATTATTTAATAATAATAATAATTATTATAATAATAATAATAATAATAATAATAATATAAATAATATTTAAATGAAAAAAAAACGAGTATCTTCACTAATTAAACATGGGAAGCTAGAAACGAAGGCTGTTTGAGTATGAAGTTAAATAGAGTGAAAAAAAATACTCTTCAAAATTATACTATGATATATTTTATCTTAAATTTTTTAAAGTATCGTGTTGTGAGTAATAGATTGAAATGTTTAATATTTTGATTTTAAAAAAATTTAAGATATCTCGAATACGACTTTTAACACTATAGTATAAATTCATAGTATTTTTAAAAAATTAACAAAAAATTCAAAAGAGGGAAAAAACCCTAGACTTCATGGGTTTTTCTTGGTCCCCAAGGTTTGGTTTAACATAGCAATGGAGATGCACCAAAAGTAACAACAAAGAAACACCCAGCAACATCAATCATCATGTGCATTCCATTTTCCATCATGGAATTATAAAATTAATGAACAATAAAAAAAACTTTGTGTTTGGATAACGTTTGAATGTATTAACTTTCGTGTTCTACGAAAAACAAGATAAAGTGATCATGAGAGTAACATGACACATTAATCTTATTTCGTAAACTAGATGAGACATTTAATGATGTTTGGATAACCAACAAACCTCGTAATTGACTAAACCCTTCTTCATTATACACTCCCACATCCATTTTAGGTTAATGTAACCATTTAAGACAACAAGAATACAGGGCTTAAACTGTCCAGCTGTGTCCGACAATAGCTGTGATCGGAAGAAGGGGTTACGATATATATTAAGATTTGAATCTTAAACGTACTAGGAGTCATCTCTTGAAGGTGGTTATAAAACCTACCGAAGTGAATTCCGATCCGTAAAATTATTTCGATTACAGATAACATAATATGGCGTTTGATCAAAGTAACATGAAATGCTCAAGCATTGAACGACAGAGAGAACTTATCATATATAAGCTTACGCAGATCAAAGCTTGAAAAATGTGTATTCACAAGCTCACAACATTATTCTTACCTCATACGGGTTTTTGACACAAATTTATACAAAATCTCTTGATAATTTAACATCGACTTCATAAAGAAGAGGTATCGGCGACATCGGCCGATCATTCTAGCTTTGTTTCGCCACGAGGATGATAAAAATGTTGTTTATTTCGATACTGGAATTGATCCACCAGCTGCAAGGATCTGTTGCTCAAGCTGAAAGATTGAAACAGAATGTCTCCAGTTAAAACTACAGCTAGGAGGGAGAAAAAGATGAACTCGACATGAAACAAAGGAGCATGTATGCTCATTTTCCCCGTGAAGTATACGCATTAAGAAAAACGAAAATCGATTCGTTGATTCTTACCCTGAATAACGTTTGAAGCTTGTTCTTCAGTAGGGAGTATTCATGAGTGACCTGTTGCAGGCATCAGGCAAGATGCATAAAAGGAGCCATCTTTGTCACATATCACAGAATGAAATGCGTGACCAACAAGCAACGACAACCAGAAACGTTGAACTCGATTTTAATCCGATAAACAATCATAAAGAACTTAACAATCTATATGAACTTGTTTAAGTATCTCAAAGCAACACACACGCCAGAGCACGACTGTGACAGATCCATCGAGAAATCTCGAGTCGAGAACTCACCCTTTATGGTTTTGCGCCTCGCGAAAGCTTCGGAAGGCGATGCATGCATTCTTTAACTCTCATTGCACCTATGCTATTACCACAGAGACAAACACATAAGAACACTTAACACATACATGAGCAAATACAAATCCAACTCTCTCCACATGAAGCAGTGAAACAACAATTTGAATTTCCCAGATATCCAGATTGAAAAATCACAGTTGAAAACAACAAAATCAATATGAAAAATCGAAAGCAGATGTGTATATAATACCTAGAACTGCTACCCTTAAGCTGATGAACACTAGCATCTACAAGAACACTAGCATCTACTTGCTTGAAATCAACACCTTGTGTTTGCTCACAGAAGGAAAAAACATGAAAATTAGATCACAAAAAAGAAAACACTTAGCACAGGAAGGAAGAAGATGAACTCACAGTGCTCTGGCCATATTGTTAAGAAGCTTCTCAGAATCTTCAAAGAAAAGAGAGACAAGCTCGACCTCAAAATCTGGGTTGTTTTCATCTTGCAGCTTTTAGAGTTGTAAATTGGTCATCCACAAATCCCTGAACAAAAATGAAGTGACAATAATAAGTGAGAACAAAACCCCAAACTTTTCCTTTTTGTTTTTTCCCCAGGGAAAACAAATCTGATAAGACCCCGCTGGATTTGACTTTCGCCTTAAAATAAATAGTTTCCCAGGATTATTTCCACTCCTTAAAACATCAAATCTAATCAAAGAATCAAAATAAGAGAAATTGTACCTCACGATGCAGTGACGTGGAATGGTCAATGAACTGTCTCTGCATAGGGATGGCAAACGGGCGGGTCGGGTGCGGATACCTCCTCTCCCATCCCCATACCCACCTAATATTTTTCAATCCACCACCCGTCCACCACCCATGATGGGTAAAAATTTTCAAATCCACACCCGCCCACGCGGGTACATTCTCAAATCCATCCCCACACCCACTACCCACTGGAGAAGTACCTGGCTAGACCCGCCTGACAACAAACTTAAGTTATACATAAGCAACAAACATAAAACAAACACATCTATTAAGAAACATAATAAAATAAACTAATGATTATCTGAGTTAAGTGTTAATATAGATCTTAAAGTACATAAACATCATAATAAACATAATTAAGTCTAGAAACATAAATGACAAACACATAATGTTTTTTCTTTGGCACAACATTCTAAAATTTCAAGCAATACTTGTGACATCTGATACTCCAGTATTACAATCATCATTCTCATAGAACACCATAATAAAACACCAGTATTGCAAAATACTCGGTTGAAATTTGAATTTGAAAAAGTCAGTTTCAATGGCGTTAAAAATGGAGGTTTGTGAAGTACATGTGAAACACTTAATTCTATTCGTGGCGTTAAAAATAGAGATTTGAGAAGCAATCTGACTCTGTTAGCCAAAAACGTGGGTGCTCATCACAAGATATTGATTTGTAGAACATTAAGAAATTAAGCTTAAAACAAACATTAAGATGAATCTAAAAAATAATTAAAATCAGTACGAGCAAATAAAAATTAAACTCTTAAAACTAAATGCAGAGGAGCTTAAAACGAAATGACTACGGAAATAACTCTTACAAAAATTAAATTTCAAGTAAAAAGGGAAGAAACATACATGAATAAGCTGGAGAGTGAAGACAAGAGGTTTGAAAGAAAAAAATTTATGCATAAACTTATCCCTAATACTTGGTTAAATTACAAGTTATATCTTATACAATATTATGATTTATAAATTAGTCTCTTAAAATTACACCTAAATTCAGAATGGTCCAAAATTTAATGAATATTTAGTTGGGCGGGCGGATGTGGGGAGGGCGGATGCGGGGCGGGTGGATGCGGTGCGGATGCGGGGCGGGTAAGGTCTCAAACCCATTACCCGCCCACTACCCGCGACGGGTACCACTTTCTAAATCCACACCCGCCCACTACCCACTAAAATTATACCCATCCCCGCCCCAATTGGAGCGGATACGGTGCGGAATCCACGAAATTGTACCCGCTTGCCATCCCTATCTCTGCAACTGGTTGACAATATCCATGGCGGCTTCCCTGTTTCTTTGAAAGAAGGAACGAGCTTTGTTTAATAGCTTTGAATTACAGGCCAAAGAACAACAGAGGAAGCTCAAATTGACGCCCATGGCTTATGAAAATCAAAATAAATAGCAATTTTTGAGGAGATTAAGGAAAGTCAGAATTAATTGGCTTACCAAATTTAATTAATATAAATTCTTTACTATTTTTATACCGTAACGTTAACAAAAATTATCTGTAATAATAAACAAGGACAACGGGTGGATTGATTTTCCCCTTTCAGTGCTTCGCTCTTTGTTTTAAACTAACCCCACCCTCCCAGACAAACTCATTTGTTTACTAAAATCCAATGTTATTAAAATCGGACCGGATCGATCGGTTTAACCGGTTGAATCGAAAATTGATTGTCTGTCCGGTCCGATTAACTTCCAAAACCGGTTGTGCACAGAACCGGTAGAAACCGGTAAAACCGGCTTAGAACCGGCAAAATATGGGTGAACCGATTGAAAATCGACAAAACCGTTGTGAACCGCCAGTTTAGAATTCTTTTTTAAAAAAAATTAAATCAAACGACGTCGTTTGTTAAACAAGCCGAGTTGAACTCAAGTATTGCTGAGCTCGACTTGAACTCAAAAACTTTAAAAGTAAGGTCAATTCGACTAAAAAAACTCACGAGCTAAAAATTATCAAGTTCAACTCGAACTCGAAATATAATATTGAAACTTAAACTCGAAAAGGCTCGAACTCAAAAAAAATTAGAAGCTCGATTGAAGCCTGAAATTCGAGCTCGATTGAAGCAAAAGAATAGTTCGCTTTGTGCTCACCAAAAGGCTCCATGATTTTGAATATCAAATTACCTCTATTATTTATAGAAGTCAGTTGGGATGCTCTTCTATGTTTCTTTGCCATGTGAGGATTGTTTTGTTCTCATATTTTTACTCTTTAGACTTTTGGGATGCTCTTCTATGTTTCTTAATCACGTGGGATTTTTTTTACAAAAAAAAAATTAAACCAAACGACATCGTTTGTTATGATTTTTTTCAGTCCCAAATTTATTTTTTGATTATAGTTATATAATTATACTTATTATTTAATATGTTTTACCTTAAATATTATGTTGTAGTTGATTTGAATCATTTTGTTTCACTTGATTTTATGGTTTTTAACTTATATATGTTATGACTTGTGATATTTTTATATCTTTTAATATTGTAAACTTAAAAAAAATGTTACATATATATTAATATTGCTTTGAATATTATGTAAAATTAAAAAAAAAAATTATTTTATATAAAATCCGGTTCAAACCGGTTGAACCACGGTTAAATCAGTGAACCAGTACCTTTACCGGTTCAAGGTCCGGTCTGGTTTTATAAACATTTTAGTACCTCACTGTTAACAACTTAATGAGTTTAATACCTAAACTATCAGTTTTGATCCGTTTTAGTACATAAACTTTTAATTTTTTAAAAACTTAACGCTAAATTTTTAAGAGGGTACTAAAGAGAAACAAAAAGTAAACATTAGGTATGATTCTGAAATAATTAAAAGTTTAGATACTAAAACAGATAAAACTAATAATTTAGTTACTAAATGCATAATTTACCCTCTTTATTTACATAAACCAAAGGTCTTTTTTTATATCAGTCCCTATACTATATGTAAGTTGCGGACTTAGCCTTTGTACTATAATTTCGTTATAAATAGTCCCTGTATTTTTCAAAATTTTAAACTTTGGTTTGACTCAAATAGTAGTCGTGAAATATGTTAAGTCGAGTTCTATTATTAACCTCTATATTATATTATGTAAGTTATAAATTTAGTTTTTGTTTTTCAGTTCTATCATCTTTAAGTCCATGTAACTTATTCATGATTAAATTAGAGTATATGAACTAAATTCATAACTTACGCAAATTAGGATAACCTATAGTAACACTCATATAATTTTTAAGACACTTTCACTTTGATCACTCAAATATTTTTTTAAGTTTTAATCACTATCATTAAGAAATGTTTTCATTTTGGTCACTCTATTGTTAATTAATATTATAATTTGTATTATAAGTACATTTTTATAATATTTTTTATTAATATTTTTATGAAATAAATACAAGTAACTTTAATGTTAGTTTTAACTTATAAATTATTTTATCGACAACATAATAATTTTCTAATTTGATATATGGTTATGTGTTGACGTTGGACTCATAAGAGGGTCATGAGAACTTCGAGTTTAAATAATTTATATTTTGTTAAAGACTAGGATATGTTAATTATTTAGTTGATTTAATAATGAAATGACTGCACACATCAAGTAACTTTAGTGATTAAATAACTTATTTTCATTTTTAGAGGTATCATGTTCGATTATTAACGATTGCAATGTATTTGAAGGTTTAGTGTCGAATGATTGAGAATCTTTAAAGCATATACTACCACTTAAAGGTACCTTAAATTAATCAGAAAAATGAAATGAATGGAATTAAAATATTTTTTAATTACAGATAATAAAATGATATATTTTTTTATAGAAACGGTCGGACTCCCTAAAAATTGAGTGGCCAAATATTATATTTTATTTCTTAATTAAAATATTAAGGAAGAAATGAATGTATCATTTTTTTCTACATTTGCTTTTAAGTTTTACTATATGATCACTCTAGCAAAATATTCTAAAAGCATTTAAAATTTTTTACTATTAGTAACTAGCATGAGTTATAAAATCCTTTTTATTCACATTTACAGTATAGAAGGGGAAATGCTTTGAAAGAGTAAGGAAGAGGTACTTTATAAAAATAAATAAATAATAAAAATTATTTTCTTAAAAAGGTAAATTATATGAAAAATTTTGAAATACATTTTAGTTTAATTAAATTTAATATCTATTGTAACTTCTATACTACTTGTTTTCTCGATTAATTTAACCCACAAATTACATTAAAGTTTTGAACACACCAGTATCTGTCAGAAAAGATATACAATAGTCTTCCATAGCATAGACAGAAAACAAAGAGAAAATTAAGAATTTATGAATACAAAGCCATTTCATTTGGTTTTCTTTTTTCTATCATCAGACAAACAATATTGTTATACAGACTTCACACAATCTTGTGTACAGACAAACAAACTCGATATGATCACGACGAAGGAACTCGAACCAAATCTAGTGCCGGAATGAGTTTTGATTCGAGTTAGACCCTTTGTCTCCTATGTCCAATACTCCATTTTTTTAGGTAGCGCCAGCTGAAACGATGTACAAAAGAGAGGAGGGAAAGATGATGCATGCTCTTACTAAACTTGAAGCATTGATCGCAAACAATACGATCATCATCGGTACTCCGCCCACCTGTCTTATTTACAGGGTGCAATGTGTTTTGAATCGAAAAACATACCTTCGTCTAAGCTTTTAACAGTGACGAATCCGATTCAACCTGCCAAAAGAAACCCAACGATGTAAAAGCCATGTGAATTTAGTTCCGAGAAAACGTGGGAGAAAATGACATGATTATCAATGAAAGCCGAGTTTTTTTTTTTTCTGGGGAATGCAACACCATAAGTTCAGGTTTCTACCTTCTTAGGAGAACACAAACATGCCACCAACCATTTCATCATTTTCCCCATCATCTTCCAGTTTTTCCTTCCCACGGTGGTTGCTGCTGCTATCAACATCATCGTTGGCATGTTCAGACAACTTGCCGCTTTCACTGTGCTGTAAGATATCATAGTGCCCTTCTTGGAAATGTCCAAAATCAACCGGAATCAGTTGTGCACAGATTGACGACTCATCCACCACAATGTCTGTAGGTGCATCATAATGGTCTACATGTAACATTGAGGCACTGCCAATATCAGCAGCATTGCAAGATGGCGTCCCATCGGTCTTGGTTCTTAATGGAGGCAACTTACTCTCTAAAGAGTAAAAATCGCTCGTCATAGAGTGACCAGTATCAGAATATATATTCTCCAAGTGCTGAAATGGAGAAGACTCGGCAGCCAAAGACTCCTGATTCAGTACCGACGACTCAATGAAGCCATTCGCAACTTTTAAATGGCAAATTTCATTCAGACCCTGGTAAATGGGTGGATAAGGCTTATCGCAATTAATCTGATCAAAATCAAGTAGATTATCCAGTCTCCTCGATGAACCTGACCAGAATTGCAATCATCAAATGACGTGACTTATAGGCAAGGGCGTTTTGAGCTTTTGATAGCAAAACAAAAAATTGCTTTCAAGCAATCACATAGGCTTACCTCCGGAACTTTCAGTGGAGCTAAGCGATGCTGGCTTTGAATGACAGATAATAATCTCTTGCGAGGCTTTATATTCACCTTGATGATGATCGGGAGACAAAGACGGAGTATACTTCCCAACGGCAAAACACCTAAACAGAACAACCAAGATAGGTGTACTTAGGACATTCTAAACACAACATAGTAAACAAACATGCAATATCAACACATTTCCGGGACATTCTCCGTGAATCGTCAGCCAGAACAAAACATTTCACTTAGAATCAATAATAAACAGAAACAACAAGCAAGGGCATCGACATCAAGTTCAGGGTTCAAAATATCGGTAGAACTGCAAAAAAAAAAACAAAACAAAAAAACAAGAATGGAAAGGTGATTACCTGTCATTCCAGCTCGATTTGATACGCTGGAAACTATCAAAAACAGGTAATAATTCCTTGCTTTTGATTTCAACTTCATGAACTGGGACCTGCTCGATTTCAAACTCACCACTTTCACAACTATTGGGTCTCGGAGAATCCATCATGTAGAAAGAAATCTGTAAAAATGACAAAAAAAACTAAATCTCAACTGAGCTATTGCACCAATTATGAGTAGGACAACTCTAAGAACATGAACTACCTTGGTCTTTTGCCATATTGGCAACCTCCAGGAGTTTACTTGCACCTCTGCATTAGAAATGTACCAGTGGAAGCTATCATGGGGCTTCGTCAGAAATGGTTTCGTATTCATTTCTCCACTGACATTATCATTAATTTCCAGAGAATCAATGCCGAATTCCTCACTAACCGGTTTACTTTCAACATCTTCAGCAACATCCTGTCTCTCAAAGGTAGCCTTAGAAATACATTCCTCTCTTTCTGGCCAATCTGACCTCCTACATACATCCCACCACTGAACAGGTTCAACTTTCACCGTCAAGTCATCCTCTTGTACATGTGTATATGCCGTTGTCTGAAATTTTAAATTACTAGCACCCGAATCCGCCCCAATTGACGGGAGAAGCTCATGTTGAACTACATGACCTGATGGAGTATACACCAGAAGATGTTCCAAGGAAGTAGTTCTTTGGTCAACATGCTGAAGAGCGGGTGATATAGAATTATGAAAAACAGCAGAAACAGCACCAGATGGCACAAAAACCTTTCCTGTTGCAGAATTCGCAGCATTGCTTACAGTACTAAGCCATCCAAAACTACTGTATTTTATCCTGGTGACAACAGAAAGGGCAACAGGTAGTGGAGGTGGGAAAGATTGCTGATTAGTGACACAAGACGAGGTAGACCACCATGGTAGGGATAGAACCGGAGAAAGGGAAGGCTCTTCACCCTGAGAACTAAGTGTTTGAAATCCTGTATCACCTCCAAAAGGGGATAAGACAAAAATATGGCAAGTCCCCTTGGATGAAACAATTGCAACCCACTGACTATAGTGACTAAAGCAAATATCTTGAATCATCTGTTAAATTGAACATAAAAATGCAATAATATTAATGTACAATCAGCGTGGAAAATAAGATATATCTCGAAACTAAAATTGTACTAACAGCTGATGTTATTCCACGATGTAGCTTGTAAAGATGCACATGAGAAGAGCTACAGTGATGACTTTGAACACCTGTTCCGGAGCGCACATGCGATGGCATAATCCTGAAGATGTTTATGTTATTTCCATAGACTGATGCAGTTACCAGAAGGGTCCCAGTAGGATCAAAACTTAGTGCAGAGATTGGGCTCGTATGAGCTTTAAATTGAGATATAACATCTTGTGAAACAAAATCCTTTACGACAACCTACAAAATCAACCATTTGAACCAAGTGTCAGCAATTGGATACTCCAAAGCTCATCTATAATCTAAAATATTCTCTCTTGCCAGCACATAAAGAAGACATCACAATCACTAATGCGTCCTCTTAAATCTAATTATGACACCATCACAGTCATTTTGTCCTTCCCTTTCAGCTTTGAAACTTTCATATACCAAAAGAACATTTGGCTTAATTTGTTCCATCTCGAGATGAGATGGAAAATAGAAAATAATCATTTCGTTCTCTTTGTAGATTTCATCCCTTTATTAAATCAAACTAAATTCTATTTGTTCAGAGATCATAATATTCTTTAAAATTGTTTAACCTCAATTTTTAAAACACATATACTTTACTTCAAAACCACATATAATTTTATCCTGAAATATAGAGAAAAGAAAGGTTTTATCAAAATAGAAACGCAATCTACACAAAAGCATAAAACCAACCATTCCTGCATTGTCCATATCAGTTCCTGCCAGTCTTCCAACTTTCCAAACTGAATTTTGTGACACAGGAGAATTTGAGCCATCAGGTAGTAGCTCTTGACAACACTTGGATAAAGTCCTGTATCCCATATCTCCAAGGCTGATTAGCCCAGTCGCCAAATGCTTACTAGATTCCATTGCATAACGAGCAACCAAACTACTGCCACCTGGGGATGTTGATGGACTAACACCAGGAGAAGGGGTAATGTTTTGTGAGCTTAACCGGCCAGTGTTAGACACCAGTGGATTACTGGAAGCATATGCTAACCACCTTGGACCAACAGCCATTGGACCAAAGCCAACATTAACCCCAACAGCCCCTTGTCCCACCAACTGGGGAACTGGATAGGTGAGGACACTAAACTTATTCTCGAGAGTGAGGGCATCAAAACAATATATCTGCAAACATACAAGAAGATCAGATGCTGATTATGATATTTGCAGCACAAGAGTAAACCAAAGGGGAGTGCACGATCTTCACAAAATTGCATTGCCTTTGATTGGAAAATATCAGGATAGTTGATCAGCCTACTGCCTTCGGTCTTGCAGAACTAGTTAAAGCAAAGCAATAAACTAAAAGAACTTAAAGACTGAGATTACTGGCAACAACGAAAAAAGTATTTAGAAAGAAAAGTGATACAGATTAGAAGAAAAACCCAAGTTACTGATAAGTCTTTATCATAAAATGAAGCAACAACAATGCCGAGTAATTTAATCTGCACTTTGAAAACCCCAACATGCAACATGACTTTTCTTATTTTCCCAAATTAGTGTACCATTTATATCAGTCAGCACTTACCTGTGTTGCAAGGCCTACAGCTACAATCCGGGAACTGCATCTAATCATGCAAACAAATGATCGAAATCTCAGCACATGCACATAACAGTGAGACCGGAGAGAGTAACATCGAACTGCAGTAGGCGAGTTGACAGAGTTCCCTAACAGTGACTCCATACGGCAATCTCGGGCCACCCCAACCAAATTGCCAGCATTCTGACCCAAGCTTGAACCGTTGGTGTCATAACTAGCAACAACCAATAGAATAGGATGTGATGCCCTGAATCCTTCTTGTCCATCAGAACTCAGAGGGCAAGGCTGCATCTGTAAGAAAGAAACTGGGCCATCACGCTTTGAAACTAGTTCACTGTAATTAGAGGCCTCCTCCACATCAAAAACTTGAAATCCATTCTGGTAACCAAGTAAGAGGACACGCTTGAAGTGAGACGGACCAAGTTCCAACCTGTCAAAGCCAGCCCATGTTACCTGTTCATGGAAAAAAAAATATCAGAAACACACCTAAGGTCCTAAGCAAACATAATTTTCCAAATACGAAGAAGTGTATATCTTAGATTGTTTTAGATACAAATACACATATTGCATCTTACTTTACTTGAAAGACTTTTGTGAACACCTTAGGCAATATAATAGTTAAAGCGCCTAAAGTGCATTTTGCACCTTGGACAACACTATGCTAGATAGTTCTCGACAAGTAATACCGAATGGTGACTGCAAATAAGCTTTAAATCACCATTAATTCTATACGTACACTGGACAACTCTACTAAGTAAACCAAAAGCTTTCAAGTAGCAAGCAAACTAAAAATTCAAAAGATAAAAAAGAAAACAATGGAAAGTAAAACCTGATCTTTATGATCTTCAGAAGAGGTAGAAATGGAAGCTGCGACGGAAGCACCGGCGGAGCGAACCGTGGAAGCGACGTTACTAGCATTCGTGGAAACAGTCTTCAAACAAGACGATATAATCCTCAACGAATTCGGCAGTAAGCCATTGTTCCTTCCTTTCCCTTTCCTCATCCTCCAATTATAAACTGCATCTCCGATCTCCGACGATCGAATATAACATCCGATTCTCCTGATCGCCACACAAATAGAAAATCCTCACAACAAACCAAAACTACGGCTTGCTTATGGTTTGAGTGTTTGACTCAAAGGAAAAAAGCTTCTTTCCCCTCCCCTCTATCCGCTATCCTCTCACTCTCTATACTCCCTATTCATCCAATCAATTTCTTTTTTCTTTAATAATTATTTTTTTGAAAAAACAATGACTGAGATTAAGGGGTGAAATCCGCGGATGTGGTTTTTGCCTTTTGGACCGCAACACGCAGAAAAGCCTGAAAACGAAGTTTAAAATTAAAATATTAAATTAGAAAAAAAGAACAAAAGAAAAAAGAGAAGGAATTATCATTACGAAACACACTGTGACTTGTGTCTCTTGCTGTGATGTCAGTTGTCAGGCTGTTTGGTTTCAGTAAATTTGTCTTTGCGTTGGGCTAAAAAACAGATACCAAAATAATTGAATCAAAACTCTTTACATTAACTGAATTATCATGTTCGTATATATTTAATATAAAAATAATTCTTTAAACTATCGATTATCAAAATAATAAGAATGAGCTGTGATCGCATCTTTTATGATAAGATTTTTTTTTAATAATTTGGGTGATCAAACGGTATCATTTGTTTAAAATTTCTTTAATATGGGGACAAGATACACTCTACAAATATAATTGTTTAAATTTAAGAACTTTAAAAAGAATAATATTTTTATTATTAAAATGAATTTGATAATAAAAAATTATGGCAATATATATTCTATATGCATAAACCAAATTACCTCAGTGGTTGAAAGAATGATTGTTATTCTTAAAGATTTCATATTCGAGCACCAATAATTATAGTAAAAATGACTAAACATTCCTTGTTAAACAGTTGAAAATATATAAAACAAATATTAACTTATAATTATCTTAGCTTTATATATATTTATTCATATTGTTAATAGTTTGCCGTGATAGGATGATAAGGATGACAAGGGTGATTCATATTGTTAATAGTTTGCCATGAATGATAAGATGATAAGGATGACAAGGGTGAATGCGTAGGCTGATAGCGGTGGCTTGCGTGCCGCTCGGGTTGGGCATAATAATTTTTTGATAATACAGTAAAAAGCAAAATTAAATCATGAAGGCAAAGACCCTTTCAACTAGAGTAACTATCTCCCTTGGAGGAGAATAGTAAGTAATTGTTCCAACTTGTTTTTTCCCTTGCCAATGCAGCTAGCCGCTCTGCAACAGTATTCTCACTTCCTAATCACGCTGCACAAGCTCACGAATCAAGTTAGTAACCGCATAGAGGCTACCACCGAAAAAGTTATTACACTTTAATAATTCCACTGCTTTAGTGCAATCCGATTCTAGCTTGACTTTTCTAAAACCTAGGTTCTAGGCAAAGGATAATGAATCATGGATTCCCATAATTCGGCCTTGAAAACAGAGCAAATACCTAAGCTCCGAGCGAAACCAAAGATCCAAGCACCTTGTTCATCATGAAAAACTCCTGCAGCAGCTGCCATCTTCATCGTTCCACTCACAGCACCAGCGGAATTCACCTTTATCCAATCCCTAGCTGGTCGACACCATCTAACATCCTCACTAGTTGCATTCTAATGGTCCGATCTGGGGGCCGCACTAGGCATAATCTCATTTTTGAAGTGAACACTTTTCACAACTAGATCTCCATGCTCGATATAGTTCGGCTGAAACAGCAAACTAAATCTATGTTTCCAAATATTCCAGTAGACAATAGCAAACAAAATGCTCCAACTCTCTTCATCAAACGAGAAATTTTTCTGGCCTTTCAAGTTTGTTAACATCCATTCGACATGAGGCATGGAAAGGAAACGCTGCAACTTATTCTCCTTGACCAATCTACGCCAAATGTTGGGTGTGAATGAGAACCGATGGTACACATGCAATCTTCATCTTCAACATTGCATACGGAGCACCGAGTTCAGGTGGTAATATGTCTACGATACGTTTCCTGATTAGTCATCAACCTGCCATGGATATTTAACCAAAGAAACGTCTTAATTCATTATGGAACGCTAAGCTTACACACCATTCTCCAATGCTCATCATGACCGTGAAGCGAATTTGGAGCCAATGCAAGGTAAGCTGAACAGACCGAGAAAATGTGATTCGCTTCCCTCTCCAACTGGGTATATCCCTACTAAACTCATATCGAGGTGGGCATGTAACTGCTATACGATGGCACACATACTCAGGGACGCACGCTCGTATTCTATCCCAATCTCATGCACCAGTTGAAGTAGCCATCTGGTACACAGGCAGCGGTTGAAGGGGAACAATTTGTAAGCAATGATCAGCAAGCAGACCAATTTCATCAAGCCAATTATCTCTCCAAAATCCAGTTTGGCAACCATTATGAATATTCCAAAAATAGTATTCCTAACATTCTCCCAAATGTAACATAAACCTTTCCAAAACCGAGAACATTTACAACGATCAATGCTCCTAGGAACATTCACTCCACCGAGATTTATTTTTCAAGACTCGAATCCACAGTTTTTATCTGTTCTGATAAGTTGCATCCCGATCTTCATGAGGAAGACCTCGTTTTGTCTGCCCATATCTTTGAAACCCAACTCTCCCTTCTTAATCGGGAGTTTAACTGTATCCCAATTGACAAAAGGCATCTTCCTAGACTCCCCATTTGAGTTCCAAACAAACCTCCGAATCAATTTTTCCAAGACATAACAGACTTTTTCGATCAGATACTTATAAGTTGCCTTAGTCACCCCACCATGTAAAAGTGGCAGCCCTAGACCCAATGTTCTTAACTTCCTCAAACCCAAAATTATGAGCAACCCTAGCTCTCACCATAGAATCACAATTCTTTGAAAAATAGATTTGAGTTTTAGCAGTACTTATTCGATGCCTCCAACAAGCACAAAACTGTTGCAAAACCTTTTTAATGACCCCCACTTGATCTATGAATGATTCAGCAAAGAGTGCAAAATCATCCATAAAAATAGATGGGAGATTTCAAGCCCCTTTCTTAAGAGATAAATTTGCTTCCAAGAATCTGAAGCAACTTGTCGATTGATGGAATTAGACAATCTCTACCGTACAAAGAACAAAGATGTACGAGGAAATCATATCTCCCTGACGGATACCTCTAGATGGCATAAAGCTCTCCGACATATCCTTTTTCCAAAGAACCTGAATCGAGACAGAAGTAATACACAGCATAATCCTTCTTATAAATCTAGCAAGCAAACCTGCTTCCAAGAGAGTTTCCTCAATGAAAGGCCACTCCAGTCTGTCATAGGCTTTCTCAAGGTCCACCTTAATCATCATTCAAGCTTTCTTACTAATTTAGCTATGCATAGAGTGTATCACCTCCTGGGCAAGAATGATATTGTCAGTTACGTTCATTCCGGGAACAAAATTAACCATCCGGGAGCATAGTTTTTAAACGGTTAACCAATAGCTTAGTAATAATTTTATAAGGCACCATACATAAGCTAATAGGTCGAGATTGCAGAATCGTATCAGAAATCTCCACTTTTGATATAAACACCAATAGAATTTTGTTTGTCCCCTTCGATAGGACTCCAGTTTTAAAGAAATCATTTACAAAACGAAACACATCTTGTCCTAAAATTCTCAATTTTTTTTTTTGAAAGAAACCAGCTTGATACCCATCTATGCCAGGTGCTTTCAACAGGTCCATCATGAATAGGGTATGACGAACTTCTTCAGAATTAACTGGTCTGGTTAACATGCTCAAACGATTCAAGCCCAACTGTCTGAAGCCTCCAAAAAAGTCTCCCCTTCAACTTACCGAGGCTTAGAAATGAACAGGTTACAGAAAAAATTCACCGCATGGTTCCGTAACTTGGATTGGTCATCACACCACAACCCATCATCCAATTGAAGCATCCTGATTGTATTACGACGCCTTCTATTAATGGTAATGGCATGGAAAAATCTCGTATTACGATCCCCTTTTGTAATCCACTTGCTTCTAGACTTTTCATGTCATAAGCTCTCTTTTTGCCCCAGGGCCATATTGAGATCTTTCTTGAGAGCTTCATAAAGATCCAAAAGAAACATAGACCCAGCCTGTTCTAAGGCAATCTCGATTCCTAGGATTCTAGATAGTAAAAGCGTTTTTCGTCTACCGATGTGACCATAAACCCCGTTATTCCATTGGCGGTACTTTCCTTAAAACTCAACAAGGCTTTCTAATAAAGGAACATTCTTATTCTAGGATGTAGTCAGAAACCTCTCAGAATTAGAATAGTCATTCCATGCTGCAATAAAATGGAAATGACGATTGCTGTGCTGTTGCTTAGGAACATCGGTGGACAGTAAAATGGGTCCATGATCCGACCCTATTTTTTGCAAATGGGTAACCTTAGAAGTACTAAAAAATTTAAACCAACGAGTGTTGTATAAGCACCGATCCAACCTTTAGCTTAGATAACCTCGTTGCCAAGTAAACTGAGGGCCATTAAACCCCATATCAATTAAGTTGGTTTGAAAGATAAACTCACAAAACTTCATACAGACACCACTTCTTTCTGTGAGCTTGTTTTTCTTTCATGCGAACCACATATAGCATTAAAATCTCCCCTAAGATCCAAGGTGAATTGTCATCCGGTGCAAGAGCTTGTAATTGATCCCAGACCGACTTTCGGATACTACCGTCTAGGCTCGCATAAATAAAAGAAATAAAAAAATCAGTTGAGTTCATATTATCAACACAATAGCCATCAACATATTGATTAGAGGCCACCAAAAAATCCATTGAAATTGTCTCTCCACAGAATCCAGATACCTCGAAAAAACCATTCGTTTCAATTTTAAAAGAACAATCAAAACCAGACTTACGAATGAAATCATCTATTTTAGCTCCACTAACTCTCAGCTCCAGCAAAGCGAAATATCAAGTTTCTGGTGTTTCATTAGCAACTTGAAATACCGACTAAACACAATC